TCCAGTTCGTCGGGGCTGCTGACTGGGTTGTCTTTGTGGTCAAATTTTCTTTTTTTTTGTACTTTGACCCCATGTTTTTAATTTTTCTTTCAGAAATACCTTGCGAACTCAAATTTTCACCTATTTTTTTTAAAATTATTTTCAATCTCGTACTCAATCCATTTTTTTCTTAAAAATTCAATAAAATAAAATTAAAATTAATTAATTAATTAATTCAATAAAATAATTTCATGAGAAAAATTTATCCGGGCCGCTTTTTGGGTTTGAGTATTACATTATAAAATTCATAACACTCTAAAGTTAACTAATTACATTTTAGAGAGACTATTGAAATAATCTTATTTCAAATATAATTTAATTATTATTTTTCTAATTTTTTCATTATATTGCTACCTCAAGAAACAGGAAAAAGGCTAATACATATATATATCTATATGCTGTCACTCACTACAAAAGTATTAGGTTCTAACCATAACATTGTTTTTAATTAGGACAAATTTTGACTGTAATTATTTATATGAGATATAATTATTGATAAATTTTATACTCTTAGTAAATAAATACATGCAGATTATCCAATGTCTGATCAGTTACTGATATATATACCATTCTTGCCTTTACAAAACTGAATATACTTTTATAAAAAATAATAATGTAACTTTCAATTTTGCAATAACGAAATGAAGAAAAAAAAAACAGCAACCATAAATTGTTTTAAAGGAAAAAAAAAAAACTACGAAACCAAAAGGCTTAGATTTGTGAAAATAAGATATATATATGTGTGTGTGTGTGTGTGTGTATACATGTACATGTATTTATATATATATATATATACTGCACCTGAAAACAACGAAGAGTGTAATATTCTTTTCGTAAAGAAAGCAGCTTTTGTTCTACCAAAAGCTACAGCCAATCAGGGTGCGCGTCTCATGCTTTTTTTTTTCTTTTTCTTTCTTGACTAATATTTATAATTGAGACCAAAATTAAATTAAATTCCAGCATGACTCTTGGTTTCTTCTTTCGCCATATCTTAACAATCGAATTTATTCCTTGCTGGTAATAATAATAACATAATTAAATGCTTAATTACGTAGATATACGTTTATTTTAATAAACACGTCTAAATTTAATTTAATTTAAAATTTATGTGAATATTTTCTGTTCTAAAATTTTAAAATTAACAATAAAATTTACCATCTTTTACCCAATGAAAGATTAAATATATAATATAGTACTTAAAAAAAATTATACCTAAATTATATATATATATGTATATAACTTGAATGGCATATATGAATGGGTAGTTTACCCAAATCATCACTTTTATTTAATTTTGAAACATTAGAAATATGGTATTGCTTCTAAACCATCATGAGAGAAATAATTAATTTCTTAATTCCCCTTAATGTTACATGTATGTATATGATATAATATAATATTATAAGAAGATTAAGATTAAAAAAAAACTATAGAAAAACGTAGAGTTAAATTGGCCCTATAAAATGGATAACATTATCTTTTTATTTCGGAAAAAAGAAAAATAAGGGAAATTAAAATAAAATTAAGAACATTAGGGGACCAATAAAATAAAATAAAAATAAAAAAAAAAAAGCCAACTGTTTGTGGGTCCACTTTTTCTCTTGTCATCTCAAGTGGGGCCCCATAATTTTCTATTTTTATTTGTTATGAAAAAAAAAGAAAAAATTCCATTTAGTGGTTTTTCAAATTTATAATAATATGGCCTGCCCACCCCCTTCAAAATCCTTCCTTGCTCTACCTTCGGTATTATATATGCATATAAATACATATATATAATAGGGTACCTTGCCTTCAACTGTATCATATTGATATATAGTCGGAAAGAATATACTTTCAATTAACTTGTACTCCAGTATTTATTTTTTATATCTCTCTTGTTCTAAACCAAAAGCCATGGCTTCTGTGTGGAAGAAAGCCATGGTTATGGCAGTTTTCTTCTCTTCTCTGCTTTGCTTTTGCTTTGATTTTTCTGAAGCTCAACTTCCAAGATTCCAACACGCCCCCAAACCAGATGGTTCTCTCAGCTTTTTGGTGATCGGAGATTGGGGAAGAAGAGGATTCTATAATCAATCTCAAGTCGCTCTTCAGGTCATCTTCTTCATTTTTATTCTTCTTTAAATTTTCCATACACTCAATCCAACCAACCTATCTATCTAACTCTTTACTTTCACTCATCATCATCATCATCATCATCATCATCATCATCGTACAAAAAGATAAAAGATCAGTAGCAGAGAGTTTAAGACCTGAGCTTTTCCTCCGACGGCGTTAACCGTAGAGAAAGATTACTCACGTAATTAACGATTTATCATATTGGCATATCATTACAATATGAGGCTACATACAAATTATCTTAGCCAATAAATTAAGCAAGAAAAGAAAATTTAAGCCCATGAGTTTGGACTTCCCATCCAATAGAAGCATGACACCTCACCCCCGACCTTTTAAAATTAATATATTCTCTTTATCTCTTGTTGATGCCTTATATATAAATATATTCCATTCCGATTCCATATATATGCCTTTCCTGTAATAATATTCTTTGCACCTTGCATTATCCGCCTAGCCAATGCGGATATTTATAGAATTGCCCACCATCTTTTATGTATGTGTATATACATATTATGTGTATGTGTAAGTGAATTAGACAAATTTCATGACATTAAATATATATATATATATATATATATGGATCCATTTTCAAATTGCAGCTAATCCACAAAAGAGATATATCAATTCTTGCATGCATGGGATTTCTTTTCTTTGAGCACCCTTCACCACCACCATCCAAAATGTATCACCTTTTCTTTTTCTTTTTTTTTTTTTGTATTATTTAATTAATTTCTTAATTACTTTTTTCTAATTATATATATTGGTTTGTTTCCAACAAATATTTACATTCATATATGTGCATTCCTACTCAGACCCACAAGCTTATAAATGAATCATTGCTCCTTTAAAAGTAAAGAAAAAAACAAGATTATCACTTTGATTAAATTGTCATGTAGGATAAGACCCACCAATAAATTAATATATATGTTGTTATCAGGTCCACTTTCAGATTCTTGATTATTAATTATCTCCAATATATATGGTAACATTTTAATTTAATAATTAACCGGTGATTATGCATATAATTAACTTATGTTGTTATGATGAATTTAAGCTGATAATCAAATAAATAATTTGTTTTGTTTGATCGAAACAGATGGGAAGAATTGGAGAGAAGCTGGATATTGATTTCGTGGTATCAACTGGAGATAACTTCTATGATAATGGATTGAAAGGTTCAGATGATCCGACATTTCATGACTCATTTTCTCGTGTTTATACAGCCGATAGCTTGCAAAAACAGTGGTATATAGGTAGGTACGCCTTAATTATAATTTAATCAAATTCTAATTCACTCAATTAATTCGCCACATGAAATTGTACTTATTTTCAATCAATTATTTCTCCAAAATAATAGAAAAAAGATGTGGAGCATGTGCATGAAATTAAATTTTATGCATATATATATATATATATGTTTTATTAATATTAGTATATTTTTATATATTATAGTTTTGGGGAATCATGACTATAGAGGTGACGTTGAGGCTCAGCTAAGTCCAATTCTAAGACAAATGGATAGCAGATGGCTTTGCCTGCGATCTTTCATAGTCGATGCCGGTAAAATTTAATTACTTTTACCACATCATATACATGTATCTATCAAACAAGTATAATTATTATTTTTTTTTTTTTAACAAAATCATTAATCTTCTTAATTACCCTTTAATTTATTTTCCAGAGATTGTTGAATTTTTCTTCGTGGACACTACTCCATTCGTGGATCAATATTTCATTGACCCAAAGGATCATGAGTACGACTGGAGAGATGTATCACCCAGAAAGAATTATCTTAAAAAACTCCTTGCGGTAATTTCTTCACAACACACACACACATATATATATATATACACATATATTCCTCTAAATATATGTAGTTGATAATTTTGAAATTAATATCAGGAATTAGAAATGGGTTTGGGAGAATCAAGAGCAAAATGGAAAATCGTGGTCGGCCACCATACAATTAAGAGTGGTGGACACCATGGCAACACTAACGAGATCGTGACACAGCTCCTACCCATCCTCAAGGTAAATCAATTAATTAAATTCTAAAATAATTTTTTTACTCATAATCACGTTTACTTAATTAATATAATTAAATTTGCAGGCAAACCACGTTGACTTGTACATTAACGGGCACGATCATTGCCTGCAACACATTAAAAGCAGCAATAGGTAAACTTTCTTTTTTTTAAAAAACTAATAATTAATAATCAATTAAATGATTAAGTGATGGTAATTAACAATTAATTAAATAACTTTTGCAGTGGGATTCAGTATTTAACAAGTGGTGGGGGATCAAAGGCATGGAGAGGAGATTTTAATTGGATAAATCCGGATGAAATGAAATTTTATCACGACGGACAAGGTTTCATGTCGGTCCAAATGACCGAAGCTCAAGTAGAAATTGCATTTTATGATGTGTTTGGAAATGTTCTGCACAGTTGGAGCGCCTCCAAACATCTTTCTCACTCAGCCATCTAAATTAATTAGTATTGTTTATTTTTGTCTACCATATATTATTTATAATATATAATATATAGATATATTATGTTAATATATGTAGCTCTTCTTTATTCAATAAATAAAAATTATTTTACCAACTATATTAACTTAAACATAGCCACGTATAAATTTGACATGCAGTTAATCAATGTATCTATCTCCCATAAGTTTATATTTGAAATATTTCCCTCTCCATAAAAAATAATTTGGTAATCAAGTGGTATAATTCTAGAATATTCCAAACAAGTCATTCTCCTCGATTTGAATATATATATACATATACACACACACACACACATATACCCAATTACTCGGAAGCAGCATATCCTTGGGAAGATTCCTCCACAAATTTCAAAATCATGTCACTCGACATCAATAATTAATTCGAATAAAATGACAGACAACAGTTGTCGTTCTTCTGTCCTGTAAGGACAAGCAATCTCATGTTGGGTTAACCAACTTTAATTTCTAAGAATTTTCGTTTGAATTCCAATAACTCATGCTTCTATAAACTTAAAATTCTTTATTAATTAATATCTTTAATCAACTAAATATTCCCTTTTTCTTTATTACTAATCACAACTAAAGTTCTCTTTTCTTCACTTGAATCCATATATATATATATATATATATATATACACAAGCACACAAATTTAAAAAAATTAAATTAATAATAATTTTCTATTATTAAATTTTGGAAAGTAGATATTACATGCTTCAGTTATTTAATAAAATAAATTCACGTTAAGATATATTTTTATTTTATTTTAATGAATGTTTTACTTTTATTTCCACAATTTATATATATATAGCATTCAATACAGTTTTCCCTTTTTTTTTTTTTTTTTTTTTTAACATATGAATCAGGCCTGCACCTATTTCTATATGTCAAAATTAAAAAATTCGTTCACGGAATCAAACATGGTTCCATTCAATCTAAATGTACATATAAATTAAGTTATCATAACAACATAGTTCTATCCCAATCTTAAGTTACCAAAGATTTTTCAAATATAATTGAGTGATTAGTTAGTTAAGTTTAGAAGCTTTCTGAGTATTGAATTAAACCCGAATTCCTTGTTTACAGTTCCCTGTAGCTTGCCGAATGGAATGTGAGAAAATTTAACCTAAATAAGAGCTGCGAAGATTAAAAACTGGCAAAAGACAGAAGAAACCAAACACTCCAAAGCCATTAGTAACTTGTGGATAAAAGAGGCAAGATTGATCAGAGGGGGAGCCTGTAAATAGCTTGTTGAGTTCTCCAGTGTGGCATACTCGATACCATCTCTTCGCATAACTTGCATGTATAATTCTCCCATTCAGTGATTGCAGCCGAAAATTCAGCCCAATCAAAGTAATGCTTCCCATTCCCGTTTCCCCTTGCATAGCCAAATACAATTTCTGCCAATCCTTCGTCTTTAACAAAATATGATGTCAGGGCATGAACTCTCTCCAGTTGTGATTGTGATAATGGCACAACTTTTCGCGACTCCATTTTACCTTTGCAAGTATGAAGTTTACAAACTTTCCAACAGTAAAACTGCACCACCTGCGAACACAAAAAAATGACTCGGGTTACCACAGAGAAAGAAAAACGATAAAAGGTGTTTGCATTTTCTTTTTTACACCGGTAAGAGATGGTAATCCAACTGAATTAACACAAGAGAAAAGCACTGGAATGGAATCAAGGAGCTTTAACCACTGCCGAATAGAATCATCTTCCATTATTCCAAAATAACAACAATTATTTTTCAATAATTTCAGCAGAATTCTGCATGAAGAATTCCTCAATTCCCCGTACTAGCCAATGTGAGAAGAATGCCCCCGCTACTTAGCACCAGGGATGCAGTTGAAAATTTCTTCTTTAAAATTCTTTGGCTGATGCAGATGTGATTTTAAAAGCATATAGTCACTTTTCAAGACCGTTCTGCCAGCTCAAACAATACATTATCAATCGGGTTAGCTGAACCATCTAAATCATGAAAGATTTTATTCCCAGATTCAATTGTAATCAAGTCTACATTATGAAAAAAAAAAGGGGGGGTAAAAGACGAGAAAAGACATAGATACAACCTACTGAACTGAAATAGCCTTAAAAATCAAAACTACCTAATTTAAGCGAAAATAAAATTACATGTTAACACGTTAAGTGGACTATTGGATGGTAGACTACCTGCAGCATATGCAAAATGTTGTCAAAGTCCCGGTTGAATAACTCATCTCCTTTCGCTAATTGAACCGGCTCTGTAAGTAAATCTGAGATATCTGAAAAACAGCTCCTATCTTGAGGACAATATAGATCATAACCAAGAACATGCATTCTTGCCAAACGAATATCAAATCCCGATTCCTGATAAGTAGCTTGGTCAGGAGAAAACCAGTACATATTACTGGATGCAGGAAGTGGTAGACACGAAGAAAGCAAATCATTTGAGTTACGCGGTGAGCATTGCGAGAGAAGAGAAACGAGTTTAACATCCTCATTGTGACAAGCATCACGACTGAACCAGAGAGTAAGTGTCAGTCTTTCCCCATCTGTTATCTGCCAAAAGATCCATAAACTGAGGAAGAAAAGAATCATAAACAGGGCTCAGCACTACAAATCATGATGCTAACAGACAAGACCACATTTCTCAGAGTCAGAGCACATTGTCACAGAATTAACAAAAAAGCAGATTTCTTTGTTACTTAGGTAGGTTCAAGGGGAATCTTCTGGTCAAAGGGGAAATGTAGTTGGTATCAGATCAATTATTCTATATAAACAAGGCATAAAACCAAAAAAAGGAGAGAGCAAGGGAAAATGACACAGGCAAAGAGAGAGAGAGAGAGAGAACTTCATTGCACCTCATCAACACAGTGAATATTTCGGCTGTCAGCAGTGTACATGATGACATCCTGATGTATAATAACGAAGTGAGTAGAAATGAAATCCTAAAATAAGGACAGACAAGTAAGCAGCTGCAAGCCATATGTGCAAAAAGAGTAAGCATCATACTTCTTGCTACCCTATGACGCACAATCAAAACCTATACAACTACTGTTGAGCAAATACGAGAAAACCCCAGAAACACTATGACAACAATTTCAACCAAATACATGATGGATCCTCATGTAATTTACATAGATGGACACACATGCACACACAGGCATGAACCTGTGCACGCCCACCCTTCACCACCTTCGTACACATGTGCATGCAAGAAATATATATACACATACAGTACATAAATTTAAGAGAATCACATATCCTGTAGTATCTTTATCCTCATTTGTATTAGTCAAGGATACTAACACAGTATATATAGCTCTTTTCTTCCAGAATTCCATCCTTAGATAAAATCATGAATATACTCTTTCATATAAATAGTTCAAATAAAGAACAAATACGCCTAAATAAAACAAAGAAACAGCTCGACTTACTCCAGCCAAGGGAGTAACAGTTGTTGGTTCCCCGTCCT